TATCTAAGGACAAGATTCAGGAGACCAGTATCATACCTGAGAAAGAGCTAGGAGCTTTGGATCTTTGAGCTATATGTTGTTAGATTATACCTAATACTCAGAAGGTGACATTTCAGTGATTAAAGTACCTCTTGGTCTGTGGGAAAACTTTGCTGAAGTCTTTCCTCTCCTTGAAGGGATTTGATCTCAACTACTAGCAAAATGTCCCAGTAAGAGGAACTCAACTCTCTTCATTATTTGTCTTTATCTAGCAGAATTGGCAAAGAAGGTGAGAGAGGATGAGAAAGAATGATGAGGACAGTCTTTCAGTCACCACAGTTCAGACCCCACTAGACAGAGCTGAGATGTGTTCCTGCAAAGCTCATGGTATGTAAGTAGGCTGATCCCTCAGAGACCTAATCAAAGAACTTACCAGTTTATCTTCCACTGTGAATCAGAGAGAGAAGAAGCTGTCTGTCTCCCAAAACACCTGCAACCTCTAGTTATGAGGGATGACACTGGACATGGGCAGGTGAGGTGTCTCTGTATCTCCTTTCTGATGCTTCTTCTCTGTCACCTTCTGCTCAGATGAAAACCCAACCCCTTGTGTAATATGAGTGAGCTGAGATGTGTTCCTGCAAAGCTCAAGATACATAAATAGGCTGATCCCTCAGAGACCTGATCAAAGAACTTATCAATTTATCTTCCACTGTGAATCAGAGAGAGAAGAATGTCTCCCAAAGCACCTGCAACCTCTAGTTACAAGGGATGGTACTGGACATGGGCAGATGAGGTGTCTCCGTATCTCCTTTCTGATGCTTCTTCTCTGTCACCTTCTGCTCAGATGAAAACCCAACCCCTGTGAATGCCTTGTGTAATATGAGATACACCTTGAGCACTGCTTAAAAACAACCTTGTTGAGAAATTATGTTGTGAATCTCAGCTGAGCTTAAAAGCTAGGAAGGCCTGAGCATCTCAGCGACCCCACCAAGCTCCACTCTGGCCTCATGAATCGATAAGTGGGTGAGCTCACCTGGCTGGAGCTCAGGCAGGGCAAAGAGGCACGCTGCAAATAGTGCTGGCTCAATACCTGCCAGGATCTTTCACAAGTACAGAAGAAACTTCACTCCAAAGTTTTAGATGCCTGCAGGGCTAGGCAGGGTAATTGTGAAAGCTACTTGTACCTAAATAGTGGCGTTAATTCCTTTTGATTTTTAAGTGCCTACACACCTTTTAGATCCTGATTAGATATCTACTTGTATCTCAAGGCTACCTTCTACCTTTAAAAGAGTAATTGGCTGAAGCTTGAAAGTGGTGCAAGAGGAATCAGAAAGAACATTTTGTCAATGAAGAAACAGAATATTGCTGATGTTTACAATGAATCACCATTTCCCGTCTCTCAATATTTCTCTTATATAAGGTTGACAGTGACTTTTAATTAGTACCCCAAGGAAAAGAGCTAAATGAAATTACATCTGCACCCCCATGCTCCAGCATGATTAACTTTAAATTAAGTTAAATCACTGATATGGATTTTACCTGAAAAGAGAGATTGATGTGTGTGACGGTAAACATCTGTTTATGCATCACCATGGATTTTCCATGTGTATTTCTGCTTTATTATTGGCCTTAAATTTTTGGCAACTAAAAAGTACTGCTTCTGGTTTGAGAAAAGCAAGGAAAATCCTGGCAAGTAGGATAATAATGTGTAATTCAGACGGGCTTGGAAACAGGAGCTCTTGAGCTGCCTCACTGCACTTAGTGGGCAAGAGATTTCTTGTCACTATGATTTTGTTATAACTCATCAACTAGAACTAAAGATCTTTTGGATACCAGCAGGGAAAATTTGCCCATGGATATAATTTCAAGTACTCATCCTACAGAACTATAGACTTTCCAATTAGTCTGGGACTGGACATGCAAAACTAGAGACACACAAAATCACAAGTTATATTTGAAATTCTTGCACAACTGTTTTCCCAGACCCAATTTCCTGTCTATTGAAATTCACACCGAGATCCTTAGGCACTTCACCAGTAGCTCATTGACAATGTACTAGTGTACATAGTGTACATGTACTAGCACTGGCAGTGTATTAGATGTAAGAACTTTTATCAGGACAAACAAATACAAAAATATTGCATGATAAAAGCATCTGGTGAGAGTCTGCTGTTTTGCCACTTCAATCACATATACCAAATACTTTTGAATGCTGCAACAAATCCACAGGCTCCAGTCCAGGCTATCATTTAATTCACTCACAAATATTCATGCTACAACTGCAAGACTGCTTTAGCCCAACAGCTAGCTGTCACACGCTGCTTCTTGGAAAAGCAAAAGAAAGTTTTATAGGGAAGTCTTTGGAGACGTCATGACAAAGATCTTCGCATAGAAGCATATTTCCTCTTCCTGGACTGATTTTCAAAGGGTAGCTGTTGGCCAAGAGGATTTGGTAATACATGTCTAATACATGTCCTCTTTGCCTGGCATTTAAGATCTTCCTTTGTGGTATTTACATAAAAAGCAAGATTCTACTTGCAGAGACACAGCACTGCTACCAGGACAGAGTGAAGAGAAGTTAAGATGTCAGGAAGTCCTGAAAACATAGAAAAGATGGAAAGAAAAGGTGACCTATGTGCAATATGACCAGGACAAAAGGGAATCCTGTCAGTGAACCAGCATCACTGTGTTGGATAAGAATGATTGTTACACAAAAGAAAGTAGGTCACCAACTCCTCATCTGTAGTGAAATGACACGTTTATGTCCTTGGCCCTGAGGTTTGCAGCAGAGCCAGGCAGGAGGTGCCAAAATCTCTGAGTTACATACCAGTCATCATCAGCAGCAGCTGAAGCTGCAGTTTTGAAGCACAGAGGTTCCCATGGGTGAACTTTGGCAGGGGTCCTCAGCTGATGCCAGGACCCAGGACACAGCGGAGGAAATGGCAGCACATCAAGGTGGTTTCCAGCTCCATGTAACTAAACCTTTTGCCTTCTCAAATTAAAGTAGTTAATCACATCCTGTCCAGGCCCTATGAGATGTTCTTTCAACCTTCCTTTTTTCTTCACTCTTTTTTTTAAGTTGTCTCCTCAAAGGACAATGTCAAAGGAAATCTCTCTGGCTAGGGAATTTTCTAGGTTTATATTCCAGGTTACTGATAGATTCTTGACAGTGATGGTGCATAGATTCAAGAACATAGAGAAAAAGCACAACGAAGTTACAGAATATTTGAGAAGAGAAGACTGAGTAGAGACTTGATCGAGATGTTCAAGTACCTGAGGGGTGATTGTGGGGAGGATTTCAGATATTAGTTGTTATGACAGTGATTTCCTTCTATTGGTTTCTATGAATCATAGAATCATGCAGGAAGGTTGGAGTAGATGATCTCCAAAGGTCCTTTCCAGCCTTAATGATTCTATGATTCTATGATTGTTTGGAAAAGACCTTCAACATTGAGTTCAACTGTAAGCCCTTCAACACCCTGTCCCAGGTCCCTAAGTGCCTCATCTACACGTTTCTGGAACACTGCTAGGGATGTTGACTCCACCACTTCCCTGAGTAGCCTGTTCCAATGCTTCGCTACTCCTTCCATGTAGAAATTCTTCCTAATGGTATACAATGTCCAACATTATGCATGAACCACATTAGATGTAGGACTTGTGCAATACGCTCAAGCTTAGAGCATTGCAGAGTGGGCAGCTCTAATTACACCCCTGGGATTAGTCATGTGCTTTATGTGAACTAAATAAGCTCTAGACCGACTCAAGGTTTATATTTTTGGCATAGCCCTCAGGGTGGATTTACTAGCAGCTTCTCCTCTTTCATTAATAGCATCCCACAGGCATGCACACTCCTAGTCATCTCTGCTCCCACCCCAGAAACACATCTCTACTCATCAAAGCTAAGCAGCCTGTGCAGGAACCATGTGTAACCACTGTGCTCTTACATTCTTTCCAGAGATTGCATTCAAGGGCTCTCCAGTGAAGTTCTTACAGCCTCACAGGGAATATACTTTTAGAAAAACTAAATCTGTTCTACCTCACAACAGCAGTAGGTAAACACCCAAACGTTTTTGGAGTGAACCAAGATTTCATCAGTTCAAATTTTCCCAAGTTTTCCAAAATAAGAAACAGGGCTTTTGTCAAAACAATTTGAGGAGGCATTTGAAAGTTTACAAAATCAGCAGAATGGAAAGTTCTGTACATCGGTGGGGTCTGTCACGTCCAGTAACAGTCAGTTAACTGTGGTTCTCACTTTTCAGGTCACAACGATTTCATCCCCTTTGATGGCCCAGGAGGGGCCACTGCTCATGCCTATGCACCTGGCAGAGACTTTGGTGGAGATACCCACTTTGATGAGGATGAAACCTGGACCATAAGCACAGAAGGTAAGAAGTTAAATTCTCCAAACTCTACCTGAAGCAGGATATGCACGAAATCAGGGACTCAAAGTTTGTTTCATATCTCCCTCATGAAGTGCTGAAAAGTGGGACTGATTTGAAGGAATAATGGACAATTCGTTTCTAAAGTTATAAAAAGCCTCTGAGTCCTCTGTTTTAGAAAGTCGAGACCCCAGCTGAGTTTTTGCTGTGGACAAAGTGAAGATTTTCTTGGGAGGGAGTTGAAGAAATGGGTAATCCCCTTCCCTTTTCCCTTGTTCTTCCTTCTGATTGCCTCTCTCCTCACAATTATATCACCTATACTTGTCTGGGATCCTTCTCCCACACTGACTCTTGCAGGATTGGCAGGTTATTTCCTCAGGCACTAACAAAATTATTCTTTTGAAACTTGCCATGGATTTCAATGTTTTCATTATATTTATTCACAGACAAAACTTCATCTCCAACTGAGTTTACCATAAAAGCTTCATTTGCTTAGGAAAGCATCTGATCTTCTTTATAGCCTTAATGTTTACAGCATATATGAAAAGACCCAGCTCTTGATTTATGCATTTTACTTGCTGTTTTCAGGAACAAATTTGTTCTATGTTGCTCTCTGTGAATTTGGCCATTCACTGGGACTTTTCCATTCCAAAGATCCTGAAGCTCTGATGTACCCAATATACGGGAAATTGGACCCTTCAGTGCTCCCACTTCATCAGGATGATATTAACGGCATTCAACATCTCTATGGTAATTTGCAATTATTAATCAATTATTGCCTATAATTTTAACCACTTTGGAATATATTTCAGTGATATTTTTGTGTAATGGATGTACCTGAGATGGCATTTTAATTTCTTCTGTTAACTCTTTAGGACATTCTCCTAACACCTACAGTGACCAAAGAGAATCTGCTGAGGTAAAAGAACCAGACGAGAAAGAACCTGCTGAGAACCAGATGAGAAAAGAACCTGCTCTACTAGACACCTGCAGTCCTGATGTAACTCTCGATGCTGTCACCACTTTCCATGGAGAAATGTTTTTTAAAGACAAGTAAGTCACCTCTATGGAAGTAAAATAACAGAGGTTCATTTCTAAATTATGCTCAAAATGTGGAAAAATAGCTTAGCTCAGAATATTGTCAAGACGGGATTTCCTATGTGGTCGCAAAGGGGTTCAGATGAGAGGTATACTCCTTTTGGAGGTAAAGAGCATATTTGAGAACCCAAGCTTCATTATTCCCATATTTCTATCCATTTTTGTTGTTAGCTCATTAGCAGTTTGGATGACATATCTTGGGTCTATACTATACAGATAAATCCTGTCTTGGGTTTCTCCCCAAACCCACTCTGCTGATCACTGCAAGTTTCTCTCTTTAATCTCAGTGACAGCAAGGTGCCTAAATCTCTTATGAGATTTATGGTTTCAGAACAGAGACTTTGGTATAGAGACATTTTATCTGCAGAAAAATTACCCTGATGTTTTCCACACTTCAAGGCACTACCCTAGTATAGACAGTGGATGGCATCAAAACAGCAGCCCAGCTGTCACGATTGAATTAAGTGCAATATTCTGGATTATTAATGTTGTGTTATCCTCGTATATTAGTTTGGTAAAGTCTAATTCTTTGTACCTATGACATGGTGGAACTTAAGATGACCTGGAGTCAATCATGCCTCTTTAGCAGTTGTTGACTATAACAACTAGCCAAAAAATTATCTCTAGAAACCTTTCCCACACCAAAAATCATCAGTTCTAGGGAAGCAGGCAGGATAGAAAATTAGGATAAGGAGTGGAAGGCAAAAGGAAGAGAGCGATGGAGAAATGAAAAGATAAGAAGTAAGATCACATTTGAAACAATACAAGATATAAATAGGATGGGGAAAAGATAGCTCATTTGAAAATAAAGGCAGCTTTTATTTTAGGCTGTAAGCAGTCCTGTATCTGGGAGAATTCAGAAAAAGGTACCACCAGCCTGGGCACACTTATCAGCTTTGTTGATGTCTTTGCTGAGAGTTTACCACTTCTGGTGCAATATCCACTTGAATATAGAGGCAATTTAATAGTAATAAAAGGAAAGGATGGTTGATTCAGTGCTGTCCAAGGCATAAACTGTCCCCCTCCAAGCATATGGCAGCCCAATAATAGCTGCTTTGACAGCACAGTTCATTCAACGTATCTTAGCTATTTACATCAAGAGGAGATGAATCCCATCATGGAAAGGACATTTCTTCCATTGACCTTTTTGTTAGAGTGACTAACACAGGGATGATAGCTACATTTAGTCTGATAAATCCCCCTCCTAGCCTCTGCTGCCATGATGTGGTTTTCTACATTAGTGTGTATAAGCATGTGATTTCATTAAAAAACTGTGCTGTATTTCTATCAGGCATTTTTGGTGCAAACATCCTTCAGTCAGAGCAGTTGACTTTGGCTTAATTTCATCATTCTGGCCACGGCTGCCACCTGGTGTTGATGCTGCATACAAAGTTCCTGAAAAAGATGAAACTGTCTTTTTTAAAGGTAAAATACTGTCTTTTTATTTTCCTTTATTGCCTTTACGTGTAGCCTGGTTTGAAAACTGCTTAAGTTTTTTCTGTGAGATTACACATGCTTTTAGTCCAACAAATCATTGTTTTTCATTCGAAGAGTTAACAAAAATATTGTCCAAGATAAAATGCATATATCTTTTTTTAATGTTGATAAGGAAAATAATTTCCTGTCAAAATAAATTTGTCCTTAGCTTGTGGAAAACTAAGGTGAATTGGGATGGAAGACTAAAGTTTTAGTTTTTGTATAATGGAGTACCTAGTACCAATCTTGTTTGCTTTGGACTGCTTCTTTCATGGAACAGTCATTCTCATGCATCATTCTCATCAGAATCACAGAATCACAGAATCACAGAATGGTTGAAGTTGGAAGGGACCTCTAGAAGGTTCTGATAACTTTTCCATCAACATTCTTTGATAGCAAATGAATTCTGGGTTGTGAGAGGAGATGCAGTACTTCCTGGATATCCTTAAAGAATCCATGTCTTGGGCTTTCCAAAGGACGTGACCAAAATTGATGCTGCTTTCTATAACAGAAACAAGAGGAAAATATATTTCTTCATAGTGGACAAATTTTGGAGGTAATATTTCCTGTGCTACTTTCCTTATTAGAAGCAAACATAATCACATGGCGTGATTATGTCATGATTTTGAGATGAATTAGTCACACAATTTTGGTCATTTCTTTCACCATCACAACTGCCTTTGGAAAAGGAACCTGAAACAGTGCTTTGTTTTCCCTTTAGTTGCTTTAGTTATTTAACAGTCCTCTCAATATATTTTATATGGTTGTTATTTTATTTGGTTGTTATTTTATTTGATTATTGATAAAATAAAATCTTAGAGTTCCACACATCACATGAAATCAGTCAGAGCCATAAGCACACAATATTTTTATCAAAATCCTTCCTGTGGGATAAAGAAGAAGTATCCCATTTTATCTCTACTCACCAACAGCTAGTTTCAAGAAATTGCAACCAAATGCCATGTATTGCAAATAACTATCCCATGTGCATGGCTACGATTTTCTCTTTTCCATTAAATCACTGCTGCTTGGTTTTGTGTCACAGACCTCATATTTGTGAAAACTGAAAGAGGTGATGTTATAAGTGGCAATTAACCACACTTTTAGAGCTGAATGTTATAAATTTTATCTTTTCTGTCACTGTGAGAATTCTGAAGTGATGGCTCATACAGTGATTATCCTGAAGTGATTACTCAGCCACATATTTACAGCTTAGGCAGAATAGATTTCCACACTTTATTTCAAATTGTCGCAGTTTGAAGACCTTCACCTGAGTCATTTGTTTAATCATTAAATCTCTTGTGGAGCAAAGGTATTAGATTGAAGATGCTGTAGTGTTGTTATTCCAGCACTGTTAGATGAGCTATACGTCACTCAAGGTGCAACAGCCTGCTATAAGTAACTTAAGGAAAATATCTAAAAACAGCTTACAGCTTGAGTAAAATCCAGATTTTTTCTGATACATGTTTCTTACAAAGAGGGAACATGAAAGCAATCTCATGTAATCTTACAAATCTAACTTCTCTTCAAGATAAAATTATTTGTCTTTGCTTTGTGCAGAGTCTCATAGAAAAAATAATGAGCTTTATAATGATAGTTCAAACATTAAGTATTCTTAGACCAAGTTTTGCATTGACAGAAACATTTCTTCAGTACAGCTAATGGTGTGATAATGATTTCTGACATCTCAAAGACTGTCTCAAGGCTATTCAAAGACTAGCGAAAGTCTCCAACGAGCTTAGCTCCATATTGGTTCAGGGTAATGTGCTGGGCTGAACTAATCATAATTTGTTTATATTTTTAATTGATGCCACGTTGTTTCTTATTTTTCTCAGTTATAATAAAAGAACTCAGTCCATGGACAGGAAGCCCAGAGAGATGAGAGAGGCATTTCCAGGAATTAATGGGAAGATCAATGCAGTTTTTCAACATAAGAATGAGTGAGATATCTCAAGTAAATCTGTACCAATCTGTGACTTGGTGTCACAGACTTGGACAGAAAGATGCCATTCTGGATTCCACTCACAGCCCTGGGAGCGACTCCTGAGGACCTGAAGGTTTATGCTTTACCTTACTCATTTGAAAAAGAGCAGTATTTTTGGTGAAATTAGGTAGAAAGGTAGAAAGTCTAGTTCTACAGGTCAGATGGCAATATCTCACACCTGTATCTCACACCATTTAAGACAGCAAAGTCTCAACAACATAAGGTCTATAGCCTTGCCCTAAGATATGAAACATCACTGCTTGGAGAGTAATAATTGGTGTTCATGTTTTCCTGTGCAAGGCAGGACATTATTTAGACAGGGGAACTCTGGGACAGCCTCAAGGTACATCCACACTGCCAGATGGTACATCTTCCCAGTTCACTCCAGGTCTGGAGTGATCTCCTGATCTTCAAAGTACGTGAATACAAATTGCTTCCCAGGGAATCTATCAGCTTTCTCCAAAACAAACCCAAAACACACCTCTCCTGGAGGGGATCCACACTGCAACCATGACTCCAGAGAGCAGGGTGGAGGACAATGTACCAGCTGGGCATCTCCTTCTCTGCTCTGTGTCCTTGGGCCACCAGCCCGCGCTCTCTGTGCCACGCTCTGGGGCACACAACACATACTCTCACCTGCATGCAAGAAAAACAGTCCTCAAGAGGGCTTCAGCAGAACCTTGGCATGATGGCAAATGTTTTAAACTGCAGGCTAACATAGGCTAAATCACCTCACGGGATTTACAGAATTCACTAACTGTATTGTGCAGCAAGTACACAGCTGGGCTGCTAAGGAAGGCATTAACCCAGAGCAGCGTGTCCTCAAGCCCTGTGTACCATGCCACAGACCTCACACGTGGGAGTGGATACTATTCACAGTGTAAATGCAGCCAAAGACTTTTTGAACCTCTGCAAGCTTTTGTTAAAGTATATTAATCTTTATATCTGCAATATCCTAGCTGTGCACCATCTTACCCTAAGCACTAGCAGCTGTGAGCTGGCTTGGAATAGCGTCTCTGTTCCTAAGCTAGGATTGCTTTCAATCAATTTTAGAAACTTAAAAGCTAAGGCTTTTAACCAGGCTAATAAACTGCTTTTCATATTTATGGAAAGACAAACAGGAATCCCAGAAAGTAATTTTTCCAAGTCAAAGATAGGTGCATGGATATGGAAGTGCTCCTTCCTCATTACTGACTGTAAAGACAGCCTATGTGAGCAGTTTCTATTTGATATCTGCTTTTAGATTACTGCTAAAGTTAGATGTGATGAACCCTATGCTGAGGTATTTATTGATTTTTGGTAGGTTATGTGAGCAAAGGCTCCTGCACACACACAAAGGGATTCAGAGGCTCAAGGACCATGGGGGACCCTGGTAACCCCATCTGAGTCACTGGAGCTCCAAACTCTCCCCTCCCCATTTCCATATCTATATTCCATGGGTGGACTTCAGTGCTGATGGGGGAGGAACAGTATTAGGCAGTCTGTGCATTGCCCACTGGTGTCAGTGCTGCATGTTTCCATATGATATAGATCTCTGTGGCCAGTCACATGCATATAGCCTGTGTTTGCATACACGCCTATGTGTGCCCACTTGCATATGCACACAGGAGCACATGCTCAGCTTCACCAAGGTCTGAAATGGGGGGCAGAGCTGCAGCAGCCTCACACCCAGCAAGCTGCCATCACTGCAGTGTTCTCCAGGTCACTGGACCTGCAGGCACCTCTGCCAACATACCATGGGTGGGAGATGTCTAGGGAGATATCTAGACTCCTAAGCATGTAGATAGACAGCAAGCAGGAAATAAAAGTTTCAAGATTTTTGGAGGGGGTTGTTTTATGCTTCTCTTTGATTCCTCTGCACCAAGAATACAGTAAGCTTTTTCAATGCACTTTATGGAACTTCTTTTCTGATTCAGTTTTAAACTCCCTTGGAAGCAGGGCTATTCAGACAGAAGACTCCAGTGGATGTCTAGGCTACAGGCAAATTTTATTGGAAATTCATCATGGTCCTGATCATATTAGAGCTTTCTCAGTCTTGCAGGACTCAGGTATTTATTGCCACTCTCTTGCTCCTGCAAATGAATGAACAGTGCAAATACTGCTGCCTTTCCTGGCCATGGAGGGAGGGAGTAAATGGGGCTTTGCTGACCAGGCAGAGCTGGAACTGAAATGCTGCATCAAGCTTTGTGGGTCTTTCTTAGCTACAGTGCCTCTGAGAAATGGACCAGTAGCTCTGACTAACTCCGGACTTGAACATTTCTATTGAATTTAGTAGGAAACACTTGAGGGTTACTTGTTCCTTATTATTTACCTTATACTGTTTGTGTTTCCTTGGTTTCTATTTTTCCTTCATATTTCTGGTGATAGCTCTGTAAGTGGCCATATAACAAAAAGGCGTTTTAGTCAGTTCACTGTCTCAGCTACAACAGTAAAAGGCAAAAACACACATGATTAGTTCATAGGTTTTTTTTTCTTCAAAGGCTTTTCTAATGGTTTTCTTTTAGTTGTTCCTACTGTAAAACCTCTTCTGCAGCATCTGTACCCTCCATAACACTGCTATTGTGGTTAACTGGATGAGGTAACTTTGTTTATAACATATATATTTAAGAATGCAAATATATTTATAATATATATTTTATGTATTTATTTATATTTATTTTTGTTATAATCTCTTCTGGTTTGGTACAACTGCTGTTTCAAAAATTTTGTGAAGTATTCTTTTCAAATTGTGTTCTCCTTCTGAGGGCAAAGTGGTCTTGTCATAGCTCTTTTATTACTGTTGTTGGTATGGCTATATTTGTATTACTCTAATACCTAGGAGATGTGGTAGTGAACTGGCGTGGTTTGTATTCCCAGAACAAGAAGATCCCAGTGGTTTTATCATACGGTAACAGGTAAGTATTCTGCCAGTATTTTCCTAGTAAAAAACGGTTTCAAAATGGGCTTAAGGAAACTCTTCCATCAGTGCCAACAGCTATGGATTTGTGGGTTCATGATGACTGATTGACACCCGGATCTGCTGAGATGGCAGAGATCTTCTCTTAGGTGACATTGGTATTCCAGAAAAAAGGGACTAAAAAGGGGTCAGAGTGCACTTTTGTTTCTCGATGGTTCCCTGATGCCCTTGGAACTGTCACCTGGCCGGTCTCCAGCCCCCATGCGGGTGTTCACTGCTAGCCAGTGAGCCAGCTGGCCGTGTTTCACAAGCATCCAGCTGGAGAAGTGTGAACCTGTACTGTTTTCAATACATCTCAAACATACCAGAGCCCTTGGGCATACACAGACTTAATCTGAAAAACTGTGCCAGGGCATTGACCTCTTATTGATGGTTGTTTTGAGGGTAGCTTTACTTCTATGCAGCTCCTGTGCCAACTCCCAGGCTGAACAGGGTGAGGTCTGCCATGTAAGGCCACCCCACACCCAGCTCCCAGTAGGGAAATGCAGTTGGGGTGCAGCAGGCCACAGCCCTGGTGTTGGCAGCAGCTCCTGCGAGGGCAGCAAATCCGATATGGTCTCTTTGTGTACCCAGGAAACAGGTACTTGGCACGCAGATTGGCGCTCCTTCTCCTTTTCTAGAGCTTTACTGATTGCGGTGATGATATCATGTCTGAGACTCTGAGACGGTGCAAGTCACTAGGTGTAACTCAGGAACTGACCTGTCTATGATCTGCCAAGCTGCATGTCTTTCTACTGCAGAGTGATAACATCTGATTCAGCACACGCCACACCAAGTCCTGTCACGATGGCCTTCTGGCACAGCCCAGTGCAGCCTCCTGGTTCATAACTGAGAAACCCATCAGGCCCTTGAAGCCCAATTAACAGTGTTTCTTTAAATGAGATGTTGAACATCAGCTATGGGCACACCAGGAGCTTGTAAGAACTGACTCGAGCTGCACCTCCAGTTTCTTCATCTCAGTGTCCAAATGTATATGGCTCATTAGGAGGCAACTCCTAGTAAATTTTCTAAGTTTCAAAAAATATCAGGAAACCAGCTGAATATTGCTACACAATGACATGGTTTTCGTTGATGTTTCAGTCTTCTCAGGAAAAAATGACTTACTTCAAGGAAAAGAGCTTGCTTCAGTGTAACATTTTGTTTGTGCTGAAAGATTTTGTTGCTTCAAAAAACGTTGGAAACACATGAAGGAATTAGGATATGCTTAATAGAACAGAATGGGCATAAAATTACTTCCTGTTAGAATGATGACTGTGCTTTCTAGTGCCGCCTGGTGAGAAAGCTCAACTGAAATCATCATTGTGACAAACTGTAAATAGTAAACAATTACGAATTGCCATGTTTATTTTTTGTAATATTAAAAATACGGAACTACCAATCAAGTTCCCCTTTCTGTAGTACTTCTGTAATAAGAGACTTTTATTGAGGAAACCCCACTATGATTCAACTTGGGAATTTATTTTTTTCATTATTTAGTCAGATCTGTGGGTGGAAGCTTCACCTTAGGGAAGATGAAAGTCATAGAACACTTTAAAATATTTTCAAATATAACTGGGGATAAAAGGGAGAGAATCCGAACAGTCAAATACAACCCCAAGAAAATGAGGCCTGGAGTTAAAATCAAAGTCACAAATAATTCTTGAAGACTGGAAAACTATTCTGAGGAAATACTGCTATCTTTCTCCTCTTATATCTTTGCCTAAATGTTCTTTTCAGTCAATGCTGGGAACACGAAATATCATAGTTGGACTTGTGGCAGTCCCTGTGTTCCTATGGAAACGTAATGAAAGAGGTATGTCAAGCACCTAGAAAAGAAATATTCCAGGTCTCTTGCCTCAGGAAAAAAACAGCCAGCCTACAGTTTTGTTGACTAAGAAGCTTATGTGTAAAGCAGGATTATTGCTAATACAGACCTAATACGCACAAATACTCTCCAGGGGCAGAATGGATGAATTGCTGAAAACTCTGTCCTTTATTAAAAACAAGAGCAAATCCCTGTTCAGGCCTCAGTTTAGGTGCAGTAGAACCTAACAGCAGGACCTGGCAGGATGACACAGGGCAAGATGCCCACACTGGGAGTCGCGGGTAGAGCTGCCCAGTGCACTGCCCAGGCTGCCCAGTGAATATGGCAGCCTGGCAGAGGCAAGGCTGCTGCAGCTCTCTGCCCCCAGGGCCAAGCAGGAGCAAGTCTGAGCATGTATTCCCAGCTGGCACAAATATGCACACACACAGCACATATATGCATATATGTACAATGAGCCACGCAAATGAACACAGGAAGTAAAACTCACATAAATGCAGGTGAAACAAATGGCCTCATTTTCTACCCCTCTCTGGCAGTTCAGGATGAAGGCCAGAAAACATGGGCAGTGTGGATCCCTCCACAGCTGACCTTGGACGTGCAGTCCACAGAGTACCTGACACTGGACCTCCAGTGTCACCATACTTTCTGCACAGACAGACATGCAGATTGGTCTGTCAACCTCCAGGCCCCTGGTCTCCCCAGAAGCTGGCCTGAAGCGCCTGATCCTTCTAGTAGACAACTCAGAGCCCCTCGGTCTATCTAGTGTCTTTCATCTCCTTCAATATCTGGATCCCGTTTAACCTATTCACTGGGTAATCTTACGTGATATTCTTGATTACACACTGCCATACGTGGTGAGTGCTTGCAAAGGGGATGATGGCAGTGCGGCAGCTGCCATGCAGAACTCCCCTTCCCTCATTGAGGGCGATGTGCAGAGAGGCACACAGAAGGAAGTCCATGAAAGGAGAACACGGCTTTGCAGCCCAAAACTGTGGAAATTCCAAAGAAAAAAGGAAGTGATTGTTTCTGCTTCCTTTTCATGATGCTGTTTAAAATTTTCACTCAATGACGTTTTCAATACATAAACAGCTTCCCCAGCTAGTGCTAGAATCCAGGACTCTCTTCTCAAAGACTGCCCTCAAAGTCATACATGGAAAATAACAATATGTCCCTTCCCACCCCTTCCCTTACTCAATATCCTCCTGGTCATACTTAAAATTTGGCAGAAGATCCTACGCACAAAGCTGCAGAGCAACAGAATCTTTCTGTGCAAACTGACATGTGATTTATTAGTGTTCCTGTATCATCCAGTGTATGCTTCTAATAAATCTGGTTCTGTTCTTTGTCTGCACATAATTAACTGCACAGAAATATCAGAAAATAAAATAATAAATAAAAAAAAGGATAAAAGAAATAAGCAAGCTAATAAAAGAGAAATAAAGGAACTATACAAACTGTATAAACTAGCTTATAGAATCAAATGAGGGAGAAATATTCACAGGGAAAATGCTAATTTAGAAACAGAACTAGAGAAGTTAAATAGCATTTCATAAATCCCAGGATCATGTGAGCTGTAGCAAATCAAAAATGTAATGCTAAGGTTCTGGAGATGCATCCAGTGCACACACTTTTTTATTAATGCCTGAAAATCATGATGGATCAATAATGACTCATGAGACTCAGTCTCTTTACATATAGAAAAGCTGTACGCTTTGAAGAATTAGCTTACTATCCATTTCAAATACCAACACTATATTGCTTCTTCTGTTTTTGAAGTGTCCTGCATTCTCCTTATTCAGTCGCCCCAAAAAGGATTGTCACTCTGAACTTTGGAAGGCACAAAGAGATTCTCTCTTCCCAGATTTGGCATGTGCTGTGCTAAATATTGACATAGAAGGAGAGGATAGGGCACTATATAACAGTGAGGGTGGAATCCTATGCTAAGTACACTTTTTTCCCATGATTTGGGGGAAAATAAGTGAAATACTTCCCAGACCAATTAAGGAAGTTTTGCATTGAGCCTCTTCAGAGCAAAGCCTGATCAGATACCAGAAAAAAATTATAATGGGTCATATTTACCTTTCTTTTTCTAACAAACAGCAACATTTACAGTATTACTTTAAGAGACTATATTACAAAAAAAAATATGTATTGGGAGAGACCTCTAAAGGTTTTCACTGAGGCTGGTTATCTAAGGCAAGAACAGCAATAGCAAAAGCATTCCAAAAGATGTCTAGCCTGTACATGACAGCTTTTGGAGTTAGAAAATATGCCACCACCTCAAGCTGCCTGCTCTGGGGCTTAGTTATCTTTGTAGCTAAAAATGCTTTCCTGAATTTAGAGTTTTACACTGTAGTGGTCTGTATGTGTTCTGGGTATTTACACTCTTGCACTGTCAACAAAAATCTACATGGTATAGTCAATGGAGTCTAAAGAATGATTCATCTCATCTTCACCTACAAGCTATATATGTCTTGAATCGCTGTCTAGAATCCATTGTCCAGAATGGAAGGTTGGATACCTAAGTCACATGTAGACACCTTTAGGTGTACAAACATTTTAAGTGATTGTGCACTTAAAGGTGGATGCTTAGAGCATTCTTCTTTTGCCCATATCTGTCGGAGACATCTGCATGGGATTGGCCATGACGACACAGGACCTATGGTGTTAGCGGAAGACCAGATGTGACTCTCTAGGACATTTCAGGTAGCATAGATGTTCAGGTGTCTGAAGCACAGACCTCGTCTCTAAGCTTAATCACCTGTTTAATACTCTATTAGAGTCTTGGAGAAGTTACTGCTCCCCTCTTAGGAACAACCTTTCTTTTTTTTTTTACAATATTTTTCTTGGCTTCCCTTTTTTTTCCCTAGGTAAGATATTGATCATAGAGTCACAGAATAATTCTTTCAGGTTGTCTTCTCTAGTACAGTCATTCCCAATGTGCTTCATGCACCCTTTCTGGTTCCTAGATTATATTAAACAGCATTGTAGCTGGGGACTTCTCAGTGCTGACAGGAGTATAAGCATTGTTTCTCATGTCTTACGAATGGAAACCCAGTTTATGTATCTCCGTTTCATTATTGATTTTTTGAATAACAGTAGAAAAATTATTGAATTATTTTTGCTCCTTTTATTTTTGCTAACATCACAAGACTATTTTAGACTGAACTGCTAACTAACAGGTAACTGAAGATTCTCTTGGAGCTATGATGCTGATTACTCTTAGCTAAGATCAGATCTTTGTACTGCCTTTACTGAGTTGTAGATTATTTTCTTTATTATTATGAATTACAAAACGTAGCACCTCCTCTTATCTGAAAAACTTTTCCTTATTTACTAAAAGCACTACAAAATTGCCCTAAACAGAACACCCAGGCAAAACAAGAACACTAACATTAGTTAAATACATTGCATCACTCCCTCATTATGAAACTGTTACGCATCATTTTTACTAATCAGAGGATATTATAAAGTATGAGTCAGAATGTCACTGATTTGCACATTACCTATATAAACAGAGCAGAGGAACGTGTTCAACGGATAGAAAGCAAAAAGGCTTAGCAGTATAACTGAGCTAGAGGACCTATTATCAGAATGAAATCCTGTTTGCTTCTCCTGCTGCTGAATGTGTCGGTCTCCTCTGCTCTTCCTGTGCCTCCAGAAGCAGAAGATGAAGGAAAAACCATAGGGCTTGTGGAGGTAAATATTTTTTCAATTAATATTTTTTAATAGCCAAATTAAGTTCTAAATGAAACAGGAGAGTTTGAGAGATAACAACAATTCTTTTCATAGAATATGACTTGATATTAAAGATGCATTATTTTGCAGAAGTTTCAAGATAAAACTTTCTCGTCAATCTGGCTTTGTGACAATTATTCACCTAAAAGTCATTGAAAATTGGATAACTTTTCTTCCATTGTTGTGATATGTGATTATTTCTGTCAGTCATTATATAGAAGAAACAATAGCAATAATGAAGTAGGAGTTCTATTAACAAGACTCTTCTGGCTGTGCAGAGATAGTCAAAATCAGTAACAAATTTAAATTTATGAAAGTGCTTTGAAAGTTGTGACATGATTGATTGGTATCAATAACATAGTACCATTGAATTAGACATACATTTCAGTATTTTGCTGAATAAAACCTTTCATGAAACATTGAAATGAAAAGGAAATGTATGAGAAATACCACATAGATGCATAGATGTATAGATGCAACATTTTATTGATTGGCATCAAAATAGCTGAAATTTAATAGGAAGACTTGGATTCATAAAATCATATTTAGCTGCTAAAATGTATAGCCTTATTTGCTAAACATTGACCCCCAAGTAGCAGCAACTGGTTTCACTGGGAGTCCTGGATCTGTGCAGTCTCACTGCCATTCTCTATTCCCTTTGCAAGTTTTGCCAGTGAAGCAACAGGGCACCAAAAATAAATGTGGAATTAATTACTATTAGTAAATACTAGATTTTAAGGACTTTTTTTCTCCATGTACTCCATCAGTAAAGCAAGAAATCTGGATAAAGAAAATTGTAAGTCATACCTAATCCTTGAATAAATTTCTGGAGAAAATGGACAATTCTAGGACATGGCAAAGACAGGGCATGTTATTATAGACACAGTTTAAAAATGATTAGAAAATTGAGTGCCACTGAACAGAATACTGATGAACCACAATACTCCTCTTTTTTTTTAAATTCTGCTTCAGACTTATCTACAGAATTTCTACAATCTTCAAAAAGATGAGCAGCCTCATGTAAGGCAAAAGAACAAAAACTCTCTTTCTGAAAAGCTCAAAGAAATGCAGGCATTCTTTGGATTAAAAGTGACTGGAAAACCTGATCTTAGCACTTTGGAGGTCATGAAAAAACCCAGATGTGGTGTCCCTGATATAGGGAAATACGTATTTACAGAAGGGAACCCAAAGTGGAAGAGCAATCATCTCACATACAGGTAAGATTCCCTAATTAGGTGAAAAAACATATAAAATTAATTTTCCAATTTTGTGGTCCTAAAGTAAGGTGAGTTTTGCCATATTTGGACATCCAGAATGATTACCTGATTTCTGAAAGGAGACAGACTTTCTAGAGACCTAAAACAAGGCCATTGATTTTTATTTATGAATATATTTAAGTTTGTTTGTTTTGTTTTACTTTTGCACAGATTTCCAATAAATTTCTGTTTTCTTAGCACTATATAGGAACTTAACATATTGGTTTTGCTTTGAAGGATTACAAATTATACCCCACTTATGAGACGAGCTGATGTAGACGAAGCAATCCAGAAAGCTTTCAGTGTTTGGAGCAATGTCTCACCACTCACTTTCCAGAAGATTGAAGAGTTTGAAGACAAAGTAGCAGATATAATGATCTCTTTTGTTGTCAGAGGTAATAACATTGTTTTTATCCACAAAAAGTTAGCCGCCTGCAATGAGGTAAATAGTTTAGAATCCTAATTCGTTTCCTTTCTTTTTCCTTTTTTTTTTTTTTTCATTTTAGATCATGGAGACAACTCTCCTTTTGATGGCCCCAATGGGCAGTTGGCTCATGCTTTTCAGCCCGGTGATGACATTGGTGGAGATGTGCACCTTGATAATGAGGAATCCTGGACAAAAGATGGAAGAGGTAGGGACTTTTTAGGTATTTAGACAGTTTTGCTTCATACAGTCTTTGTTCATGTAATACTTAGTTCATGAAACTGATTTTTAGGTAAAAGCAGAAGGTATTGTCCTTTTTAATTGTTTGATTCCATCTCCTCCAGAGATTTCTTCATATATTCTGATAAAAGACATATTTAAATCATAGTGGTTTATAACAGCATATAAATTAGTACTTAAAAATACTCTTTTTTCCCCCTTCAAATAAAGCCTAAACTTGATTACAGGAAGATCTGAATTTTAAAGTTCTTGGATCAATTTCCGTATCTTTCTTAACCAAGCCCTTCAAAGGCCAGTGCTAACTAGGCTGTTTGTATATCAGCAAAGCTGCTTTCAGTGTTTATCACGAAAAAAGAAAAAAAAAAGTCTATTGGATGCCTGAACTGCCACATACATCAGTAAACCAATTTTTGATCCTAAGCAGTCTAAATAATAAGAAGGGAAATAGGCTTTGTGTTAAGACACAAGTACGATAGTCAAAGGGCAAAGAGACCATAATTAATGCCTGATGTTCCCTGAGTACTCATACAGCTCTTCTCTTACAATATCCTTTTCAGTTGTAATGTTACGAACAATACTTACTGTCTCTCTTCTACTTGTTGGCTGTTTGGGGAAGATGCATAAGAGTGTTTCCTATTTAGAAAACTGTGCTGTAGACTAAAATAGATTTTTTCTGTTCCATATGGTTTTTATTTCACAGGATATAACTTGTTCATTGTTGTTGCTCATGAGCTTGGCCATTCATTGGGTTTGTCTCATTCCACTGACCCTGGAGCACTGATGTATCCTACTTACTCCTATACTGACCCTAAGGAATTTCATCTTCCACAGGATGACATTAATGGCATTCAAGCCATCTATGGTAAGAAAAGTAAACATCTTGGTTAATATGTCTGTTTGGGACAGCTGGTAATCAGTAATGAAGGTCTGTTTAAAATAAGGAAAAGAAGAAGGAAAAGTCCACAAGGCTAATTTTATCTGAAATCCAATTCTGCAAAAATCTCATTCTGGAAGAGAGAAATAGCTTTACACAACAGTTTTTAGCAATGTTAAGAGTCTGACTTTAAATGACAAACCCTCCTTTTAAAACTATGTTGCCTATAATTCTCTGTAAAATATTCTTCATTGATCTTCCTATAGGAAAGTCTAACGCCCCAGTACAGCCTACAGGACCCACAACTCCCCAAGCCTGTGATCCTAATTTGACATTTGATGCTATTACTACACTGCGTGGAGAAATGATGTTCTTCAAGGGCAGGTAACAGTACATTCTAATAACAAGGCAACAGGATTCATATATTCCTTAACAATGTCTTCATGTGACCCATAACATTATTTTTCTGCTAGACCCAAGTAAAAAAGCTGGAATAGAACTGAAAACACCAGTATATGGAAAGATTTCTGTTATGTGACAACTGAAGACAACTCTCAAACTTACTGCTATACAGAGAAATAAAAGAGCTCATATTTGTCTTGCCTGATTTTGGCACTTAACTGAGATGCTAAACTTAAAAGTGCAGTTACCCTTAATTTTCTTTATACTCATCAGAGAGGAATATTCATATCCAGAAGATATTTATGAACTTAGACAGAGTAAATCACCATGTAAAGATATCTGTCTCCATCCCGTCATACTTCAGAAGCTATAATCATTGTTTTACATTTATGATAGTGGTGAAACTATTTCAATATATACATATTATTTAAACCAGATACATCCTGCGCAAGCATCCTCAGAGGACAGAGACAGAACTCAACTTTATCTCCCTGTTTTGGCCAAAGTTGCCTTCAGGAATTCAAGCCGCCTATGAAAATGTCGAAAGGGATGAAGTTTTACTTTTTAAAGGTAAAAGAATCTGAGAATTTCTACATTAAAAAAAAAAAGCTCCTTGAAAACTGTGCAATTACAGGAATATAAAAGAGCCATTATTTTCAATTCATCTAAAGCACAATTGAATGATGCTTAATTAAATGACATGGTTATATTTTTCAGAGGATAAATATTGGGTTCTCAGAGGTTATGACATTGCACATGGCTATCCTAAACCAATCTATCATTTTGGATTCCCAAAGACTGTTAAAAGAGTTAATGCAGCTTACAGTGATGAAGCCACAGGAAAAACATACTTCTTTACAGCTGGCAGATACTGGAGGTAAGTTTTAATGTTCAGCTACCATAAAGTGTATTTTCTCCCTGAGGACAGATTTATTATTATAAATTGAAAATGTGATAATGTCTAAGTCAGGTAGACCCAGAACTCCAAAAAAGAAGATTCAGTGGAAGTTTAAGCACTATTTTGTTAGATATTATTTGTTAGGAAATATCAACTTTTCTATGGAATGTTTTGACATTCATTAGATTAATGGGAAGATATAAATGAATTCCTCGCTACCGAGTGAACCATCTGCCTACTAAAAGAACTATCTTCTACTAAATTATACACTCAATCTCTACAACAGTGCAGCTTTTCTGGGACCATTATGATAGTGTACACTTCACATTCACATCTCAAACAAAATAAACTGCTAATAAAAAGGCTGTAATTGAATTTCACAGTGAACAGTCAAGTTATATATTGTCTGTGATTGTACAGGTGGCAGTATTTATAATTTATGAAAATCTCATGATAAATTTCAGGCAATAATTTTGTTTAATAAGTGAATGACTGTGTGCATTAATAAGTGCATTAATAGAACTATGTTTCAGGACTGTATTACAGTCTTTCTGTTCCCACACTCTGTGCCTTGCTTTTATGCTGAACTGAATATTTGATATCTAGTAACAGAAAATCATTTAACATGCATTTGATTTACAAGGCTCTAGATAGGCCAGAAATGTAGGAATATTTATCTAACCTAAGCTCCCAAGACCCTTGAAAGCCTTTGTTACAATCTCCACTGAAGATAGGATTTTCAAATTTGAAGAAAATTATAACAGGTGAACATTAATACATAGTAAGGAAAACCAAAAAGCTAGTTTAGCTTACCTTTATCAGATATTTTAGTTAGAGTTTATATGTCTGAAATCTCTTAGGATTTCTAAAATATTTCCTTTATATTTCTTGTGTTAAGATATGATGAAAACAAAAGATCCATGGATCATGGCTATCCCAGAAAAATAGCTTCAGACTTTGGAAAAATTGGCAGAGTTGATGCTGTTTTCCAGAAAGATGGTAAGTAAAACATATCTTTAACGTGGTCTTGCTTGAATATTTGGGTTTCAAAAAAGAAGAAAGTTTCTGTTAATAGATGCAAATCTATTGAGATGAAAATAAAAAATAGTAAGTATACATAGATTGCTTATGTTGATTTTTTTTTCAAAGTACTATGAATATAATTCATTTCAATTTTATTTGCAGGCTATATCTACTTTTTCCATGGAACAACTCAGTTCCAGTTTGATCCTCGTGTCAAAAGGATTGTCAGAAAAATGAAGAGCAACAGCTGGTTTGATTGCTAATTGCAATTGCTTTTGCATATGTATATTATACATTTTTTTATATGATGAATTTTACAGCATTTCATGTCAGTGCTTTTCTGCCAGATTTTTTGGAATTATGATCTTAATATTATTATTTTATATTATATAATATATTAATATTATTATTTTTTTCAAGTGCAGTTATATAATTTATTATATTTCATTTGCTATATTAAAGCTTATGAATAAACTATACTTGACATACTATTGTATCTATGCTTTCTGATTTGCACTACTGCTCAAGAGTCAAGCCTAGCTTATAAACACTAAAAATATGTTTCTGGAATGGAATATCAAATCCTTTCTCAAATCAATAGCCAGCTGGTTCTGAGATCCATTACCCCTCACAAGCCCTGGTGATTAGTATAGTTAGGGCTTATTACCATCAGCCAACAAATCACACTTCTCCTTTCTGCCCTTCTTTGCCCCACTTCCACTCTTAGTCTTTCCTCCAGGGCATAGATCATAGCAAAAACAGGTGCTTTTCTCCTGTCTGGGGCTTTGAACTGGGTTTAAGTATGGAAAAAAATGTAAGACTAGAAAAGAAAAACATCTGAGATCACTAAAACCCTCCCTGCTCTCACAGGTAGCCACATTACATAATTAAACCTTCCTGCTTAGAGCTCTTCCAGATAATGATATATTACTCCTCTAGTAGTTTCTATGTTCATCCTGATTTCAGGGGAATATCGGATGGCAAAGTTTGCTAAAAAAAAATCTTGATAAAGAATATTTCCTATTCACAAAATTCATTAAAAAGGCAGCTTAATACCCAGAGTACCCAATTTTTTTTTCAAATGCCCTTAATTAAAATAATACTTGAGTTCTTATTCACTTTCACTTTATTTTTTTGTAGTTCTGCTGGTAAGATGAGAAGTCATATGACAATCATAGAATGCATCTTGTCAAAGAGGTCATCTCTAGCATGCCACACACTTGAGAGAAAAGTATGAGGATCCTATAACAGAAGTAATTGGATATGGAGAAAAGGACATGTAACAGCATAGAATCATCATTTGGATTAATTTTCTTACTTGTCTGTATTAGGAGAATGTCAAATTTCACGCCAGCAAAATGAAGAACAGACTTAGTAAATTATTAATTTCAGGGAAAATATAATCAAAGTACAGCTACATTCAAAAATAAGAAATTGCATTATAGACAATAAAGGTGGATATATGATATTCTTATAAAACCTAAAAAAAAAAATACATTACAGTACACCACAGAATGGTTGAGGTTGGAAGGGACCTCTAGAAACCATCTATTCCAACCCCCGACTCAAGCAGGGACACCTAGAGCACGGGGCACAGGGTGGCATCCAGATGGGTTTGGAAGATCTCCAGAGAAGGAGACTCCACAACCTCTCTGGGTAGCCTGTTCCAGCACTCTGTCATCCTCACAGTAAATAAGTTTTTCTTCAAATTCAGGCAGAACTTCCTGCGTTTCAGTTTCTGCCCATTGTCACTTGTTCTGTTGCTGGCCACCACCGAAAATACTCTGGCCATATCCTCTCAACATCCTCCCTTAAGGTATTTGTACACACTGATGAGACCCCCCTCTCACCCTTCCCTTCTTCAGGCTAAACAGGCTCAGCTCTCTTAGCATCTTCTCATTTCTTCAAATTCAGGCAGAACTTCCTGCGTTTCAGTTTCTGCCCATTGTCACTTGTTCTGTTGCTGGCCACCACCGAAAATACTCTGGCCATATCCTCTCAACATCCTCCCTTAAGGTATTTGTACACACTGATGAGACCCCCCTCTCACCCTTCCCTTCTTCAGGCTAAACAGGCTCAGCAATCTTAGCATCTTCTCACAGGAGAGTTGCTTCAGTCCCCATCAAAACCTTTAATGAAGAAATTCATTTATGTGTATACCGCTCTCATGAGGTGATTTAGATATCAATTACTTTAAATAAAGTCTCTGTAACAGTCCTAATTAGTCATATTTTCTTGTGTAAGATAGTGATCCTGAATTACCAATGCCAATTAAACCAGAAATTATTATAAAAGTAGATCAATCTAAATTGGTTATTTTGTTATAGAAAAGGTGGTCTACAGACATGACGACACAATATTTGTAGGAAAAGATAATGTGTCTTATTAAACCTAGTATAAATTAAACGACTTAGTATAAACTAAAAAATAAGTAAGCTTTGGGCAGTCCTTCAGATGAGGAACAGAAGCAGCAGGCCCCAGTGTAGCTCAAGAGCAGCTCCTCAGAGATAAAGTGGAAAAATTTATTATTCTCTGGGAGAAAAAAAAAGTAGTTAATACTTTTGGAGTAGAGGGATTTGGAATGGAGCATAGTAAGAAGGTGGCTATCATTTGGAGCAAAGAGAGAGAAAAGGGTAATTTATAACCCATGGAACATGAAGAATTTAAGGAGAGGAGGCAGTTTATAGTTAAGCATTTTTAGTCAGTGTTTTTTGATATTCTGTAAAGCACCCTGGATTTCCCTCAAGCATGAAGACTGAGGGCTCAAAATAAAATTGTTTCTTTATAAGAGACACTCCTCCATGTTTATCTGAATGTTTTGTCCGTTATCTTTATGTGAGCAGTGATTACTCAGCTTCCTCTACACATTTACGAGGAGGGCACGTCTGGTGACTGCACCACACTATTGCATTCCTGGAAGCACAAGCTCTGGTTCCAAGTGTTTTGATTTTGTGGTGATCAAATGTAGTGGTATTTATCAGCCTCAGTTTGTCCTGTCACCTACAATTGCTTTGCACCGTTCTAAAGAATTTATGGTTCTATTTGCTAATTACTGTACTGTAGTTACTGTACCACATCTTGATTTATGGTAACTGTTTATAGGTGTAGTCCTAGCCTACATCACTCTTAACTGAAACAGATTTACCGAGGGTGGTATCAAAATGCCTGAATATATGCATTTAGTGTATTTGAGATGCTATAGGGTATCACCCATGCAGATATGAAACAGGACCTCTGGCAGAGGAGTGCTCCCTGAGCTCCAGGGAGCACACTGCCTCCAGAGACCTACGTGTAAATGACTGAATCCTGCCTTCCTTGTCAAAGGTTTGAAAGGAATCAAACACATTATCTGAAACATTTGCCATTTTCCCAAATCATTGTCCCATATTTTCTAATTCAAGTTGTGTGATTTTACTTCAGTGAAACTGTGGAGAGATTCAACTTCAAGTATCTGTTCAGCCACCTGAACAGATCTCTAGTGACATTAAGGTGCCTTTCGGTCTTCCACGTGGCCTATGACTGTCAGTGTTAGAGGCACAAATTCCCTCTACAGCCTCAGTCACATCCACCAGCCCTCTGTCAAGGCCTCAGGTCACTAGGCTGTCTCAGAAAGCATGGCACATCGGTGTTTGGGCAGCTGACTTCTTGCAGCCTCAGTGTTTTCATGTGAACTCAGGCACAGGCTGTTGTCATAGTCAATGGAGCTGGTCAAGACCCTTGGACTCCTGAGAGCTATGCAACACATCCTCAGTTTTGTGCAGCACATCCTAAGTTTAACTCCTACATGTGATCAGATGAAACAATCTCTTAGCAACTTTTGACAATATTGATTGTGTTTCTATTGGCTATTATGGAGGTTCTCACATGTAGACACCCACACTATGGACCACTGAATACTTCCTGGTATAACCACCATGATGCGACAGTGCTGGTGATTTCTGTGCCTCTCCGTGCAGTGTTGTTTGGTAGTACCGATGTGTTGAGGACCAGCTGTGACCTTTCCAAGTTAAGACATGTGTCACATTACTGCAGTCCTGATGAAACATATGCTGGGACCACAAGAAGATGTCACAAGGCAGATGAGAATTCACCAGCTCTCACCAACGCTAAGGAGAAGAATTAGGGAACCATAACCAACAGCTGCTTTACAGCTTCTTCTTTTCCCAGGCTTTTCTTTGTGAGAAACTATGCACTGAGGTATCCCAGGAGCAGCTGGAACCAGCAGCTGTCTTATGCAGATGGTCAAGAGCAGAACCTTACAGCCAGCCTCTGCCACCTAGCCCCCAAGTGTTTTCTGAACAAATACAAAAGCAGCTTCCCTACATTTAATAAAGACAGAGGGAGACATCTACAGAGGTTAGTTCTTCCCTTTCTAAGATAACTGGTTGAATCACTCTCCAGAGATACTTATTACTGTTATCTATAGAAGAATTCTTAAAGTTAGAGGCAAACGATCTTAACCTAACTGCTCTCATGGGGCTCTATCCTTCCAGCACTGCACAGTAGGCAGCCGTGGAGAGTGTATTACCAGCCACAGTGGAGAAGATAAGCAGTTCTCCTGGTTCACATCAGATCTTCTCATAATGCTTCCTAGATTTTTACAAAATTAAAATCAAAGTAGACATAAATATCTTTTCCAAAAATTTGTTCTAGTACCCTGAGCAGGAGTTTTTGTTTGTAACCTATGCCATCTATACAGCTGGATGCTATAACCATGTTATTTCCTTCTAACTTTAAAACCTCTGAGATAGATAAACATTTTTTGTTTGTTTGTTTAATTTTGGAAGGCAGAGCTCAAAAATTACTTGACTTCCCCTAATTATGGATAAATGCACATCATTTCCAGGATCAATTCAATCACACTCATCATGTGAGAAAAATCGTTGTAACAGTTTGTACATCAGTAAAAGAACTGGGTGGAATCCAAGTCTCATGGATCTCTCACATACTCCCACAATGCAATAATAATGACAAAGTAAGGGGGTTGGTTGTTATTGTAATTGACAAATGCCATGAAGTTTAATAAACAAGGCTATGTTGTGAAACCCAGCGATGAAATTAGTCATTAATACCTCTGAAGAGAGAAAAGCTTGCTGCAAGTGACAACAAAAAATAACACGGAAATATGGATTTCCTGAAAAAGCTGCTGCAGCCACAAAAGTGTGTTTGTTACAGCAGTTTTTGAGTTGATGTGCACATTCTGCTACAGCTCCTTTGAGGTGCCAAACACATCCACTTCCTATTGCTATGGACACAATTCCCATTGGTATA